TGCTTAAGATTAGAAGCGGCTGAAAAGCATTTCTCACACTCCTAACAAAAATATTTTTTTTTAACATTCTCTCCACTTTGAACGAAATGACGTTTGGGAAGAGATTAACATAATTAAACACAGGCAGTAAAAATACAGTTTTAGCCATACCCTGTAACTTTAAAACTACACATCCCATCTTCATAATTACATATTTGGAATCAGCACACTTAAAACATAAACATAACCAAAAATCAGCCAAATCCACCCAGGGGTTAAAAAGTTAGCTGGAGGTCCCTTTATGACCGACCGCAAGCACATTTTCCTGCCCAAAACAGTTCCATAGATTTGGGTTGTGAGGTCGGTCTATTTCAGGCTGAAAAAACGACTAAGTCCCATCGCGAATGGGACTTAGTCTCTGCAGCTGAAATAAGGCTGAAAAAAACGGCTGAAAAAAAGACTAAGTCCCATCGCCGAATGGGACTTAGTCTCTGCAGCTGAAATAAGGCTGAAAAAAACGGCTGAAAAAAAGACCAAGTCCCATCGCCGAATGGGACTTAGTCTCTGCAGCTGAAATAATTTCCCATTTACTGAACCAAGTGGGAAATAGCAAGGCAGGCACAAAGGGTTTGCACCAGGTCTGGGGACACAGGGGACACCGTCTTAAAGGGGCCGTGTCCCCAACAGTCTGGGGACACGGCCTTAAAGGGGCAGTGTCCCAATCTTCCTGATGTCCCAAAAAAGGTGTTTAAAGGGCCAGCACCAGTCACATAAAGAGTCCATAAGCCCCAATATGCCCACCCACAGTCTTAAAGGGCCATACACACCAAATAAAAGTGCATACATTTTCACAATCTCCCAGGGGCCATAGTCATGCGGGAGGAGGCTGGCAAAGAGGCTTCTCCACAACCCAGGGAAGCAGGGCAATTTGCCATTTAAAGGGCCCGTTACAAATAGCAGTTTGTAACAAGGTGTCAATCCATATCTGCCAAGTGACCCGATGTAGGGGGAACAGTCCCTATTCTGCTCTGTGTCAGTGTGTATCAGGGATCCTTAGGACAGGTGTCAATCCATATCTGCCAAGTGACCCTATGTAGGGGGACCAGTCTCTATTCTGCTCTGTGTCCGTGTGCATCAGGGGCTCTGAGGACAGGTGTCAATCCATATGTCAAGGTGTCAATATGTTATATGTCAGGTGTCAATCCATATTGATTGTGATTTAGGAATGTTAGGTGATTTCTGCCCTTTATGGATTAAAACCAAACTCTGTATCAACTGTGTAATTTTCCATGGGAGTTTTGCCATGGATCCCCCTCCGCATGCCACAGTCCAGGTGTTAGTCCCCTTGAAACAACTTTTCCATCCCTATTGTGGCCAGAAAGAGTCCCTGTGTGTTTTAAAATTCGCCTCCCCATTGAAGTCAATGGCGTTTCGGGCGGTTCGCCGGTTCGCGAACATTTGCGGAAGTTCGCATTCGCCGTTCGCGAACCGAAAATTTCGGGTTCGCGACATCACTACTTGTGATTGGTTAATGTCCAATATGTTTCCCAGTTTCCCATCTGGTCCCTTAGGGGAGTGTCCACCAGGTGGGAGACCTGCATAAAAGCCGGGCAGTTAGCCCCAGTAATTCTGCTTGACCTCAAAACGAAGTGTTGTCTCGTTATTGGGGGAATTGGATTGTATGCTGATTGCCAGGAGTGTAAGCTGATTGTATGCTTTTCCTGTTTGGCTGTTTCCAGTATTCGTGTAGTTTGCAGTTCTGGAGATTGGTGCTTACAGTAGCTGTCGGTGCATCTGGAAAGGGGAATATCGCCTAAACGTTTTTTAACCTCTTGTGTGCAAAACGGTCTGTTACATTGGATGGCAGTGGTGGGATGGCTTCCTAGCAGCTGGAGAAATGTCCCTGGACACTGGCGCCTCTACTGGGATCCCACTGTGCTTTCTGGAATTCATGGAAATGGATAGAGCTAGCACCCGTGCAGCATCCCCATCTGAGGAGGAGTTACAAGAGACGCTACAAGCAGCTCTGTCCCAGTACAATGGCCCTTTCTTAACAAAGGGTGAAATGGACCAGCGGGACTCGATCCGTTGGGATCTCTGGAACAATGTTCTTGAAGAGGTTTGTTGTCTACGGGGAGAATCCCTCCCAACCATTATGCAACGATTTTGGGATCAAGTTGATTTGCGGATGCAATTCTTGGGAGAGCAGCCCCTGGCGGAATGGGTGTTTAAATTAGAGGAACTGGTACAGAAAGAATTGTGGCTGGATGATTCTTACCGGGCCTTAAGGTCGTATGCAGTCCAGCAGTACCCATTTCTAGCAGATGATGACCCTCCAGAGGGTGAGGACTATGATGGCCCTGGCCTATTGTGGGAGGCCTTTGAGGATAAAATTGAATTGGGAAGTCCTAAGAGGTCCCGGCTTTATGACATTAGGGAAAATAGGGAACACCTACTGGATCTCTCAGAAGCAACTGACCTGGAACCTGATTTGACCCAC